GGCAGGTGCCTGTAGTCCCAGCTACTCGGGAGGCTGAGGCAAGAGAATCGCCTAAGCCCAAGAGCTGGAGGTTGCTATGAGCTGTGACGCCACGGCACTCTACCAAGGGCAACAAAGTGAGACTCTGTCTCTAAAAAATTAAAATAAAAGTCAGGTGGTGCCTGTGGCTCAAACCCATGTGCCAGAGGTGGGGGGTTCAGACCCAGTCCCGGCCAAAAACTGCAAAAAGAAAAGAAAAAAGAAAAGTCATAAAAAGTTAATAGTACCTTCAGGAATAAAGCCTGTATGACTAGTTACATATTTTAACCTAATACTTCCCTTCATATTTCCTAAGGAACTCTACTGCATTATGGCTTTGTTTTTGAGATAGGATCTTTCTCTATTACCTAGGCTAGACTACAGTGGCATCATCATAGCTCATTCATAGCTTATTGCAACCTCAAACTCCTAGACTCAAGAAAAATCTTCCTGCCTCAGCCTCCCAAGTGCTAAAATTACAGGTTTGAGCCACCATGCCAAGCCTACTATGACTTTTTTTTTCCCTCTAGAGACAGAGTCTCACTTTGTCGCCTTCAATAGAGTGCTGTGGCATCACAGCTCACAGCAACCTCTAGCTCTTGGGCTTAGGTGATTCTCTTGCCTCAGCCTCCTGAGTAGCTGGGACTATAAGCGCCTGCCACAACACCTGGGTATTTTTTTGTTGCAGTTAGGCCAGGGCCAGTTTTGAACCCACCACCCTCAGTATATGGGGCTGGCGTCCTACTCACTGAGCCACAGACGCTGCCCGTGATTTTCTAATAAATATCACATAGGAAAAAAGAAAAGATTATCTGTTCAAGTAAGTTTAGGAAATACTATTCAGCAGGTTTTTTATTCTAGAACTTTTGGGAATTATTGATATGCAAATAGTTATTATGAATCTTAAAGAGAGGACTATTTCTCCAGCATACCTATCCAGAAGCTTTAGGGAACAGTTTTTCTTTGGGACACCAATTTGAAACCTCTGCTCTAGTTAGAAAATAACCAGGAATAATTCACAGTAACTGAAGACTGTTCTTTATGTATCTTCCCAGCTTTATTTGAATTTTCCAACTTCTCTGAGATGGGAAAAGGAGTCTTGTTTTTTGCCAGCAAAGATTAAACCCCGAATCATTTTTCACCATACAAGGTTCTTTTTGTTTTGTTTTGTTTTGTTCTTGAGACAGAGCCTCACTCTGCTGCTCCAGGCTAGAGTGTTGTGGTGTCAGCATAGTACACAGCACCCTCAAACTCCTGTGCTCAAGTGGATCCTCCCATCTCAGCCTCCTAAGTACCTGGGACTGCAAGCTCACACCACCATTCCTGGCTAGTTTTTTTATTTTTAGTAGAGACAGGATCTCACTGTTCCTCAGACTGGTCTCTGAACTCAAGCAAGTCTACCACCTCAACTTCCCAGAGTGCTAGGATTACAGGTTTTGAGCCACCATGCCTGGCTGGAGTTTTTTTATTTTTATTTTGTTTGGGGGGTATTTGGGAGGTTTTTTGTTTTCTTCTTTTTTGAGACAGAGTTACTCTCTGTCACCCTGGGTAGAGTGCTGTGGTGTCATAGCTCACAGCAACCTCAAACTCTTGGACTCAAATGATCCTCCTGCCTCACCCTCCCAAATAGCTGGGACTACAAGGTCCTGTCACAATGCTTGGCTAATTTTATATTTTTTGTAAAGATAGGGTCTCACTCTTGCTCAGGCAGGTTTTGAACTCCTGAGCTCAAGCAGTTTACCCTCCTTAGCCTCCCAGAGTGCTAGAATTACAGGGATGAACCACCTCAGCCAGCCAAATTTATTTTTTCTAAGCACTACTTTTAACTTTATTTTGGGCGAATTCTATAACTTCTTAACACTCTTAATTATTAGTGATTACACCTCAGTTCCATTCCCCAATTCCCATTATATTCTGATGTAAAATTCCCATGCAGTCATACTATATTTGGCCTTTTGTACCTGGTTTATTTCACTTAGCATCATGTGTTCAGGGTTCATTCGTGTAGTATGTGTCTAAATTTTCTTCTTTTTTCAGGGTGAATAATACTGTGTGTATATACCACATTCTGTTTATCATCCATTGGTGGACCCTGCTTTGCTTCCCTCTTTTGGTTATTGTACTTAATGCGGCTATGAAAACAGACAACTGTGGGGCAGCACCTGTGGGCACCTGTGGCTCAGTGGGTAGGGCACTGGCCCCATATACAAAGGGTGGCTGGTTCAAACCCGGCCTGGGCCAGCTAAAACAACAGTGACAACTGCAACAAAAATAGCCAGGTGTGGGTGGCGCCTGTGGCTCAAAGGAGTAGGGCACTGCTGGCCCTATATGCTGGAGGTGGTGGGTTCAAACCCAGTCCCAGCCAAAAACTGTAAAAAAAAAATAGCCAGGCATTGTGGTGGGTGTCTATAGTCCCAGCTACTCAGGAGGCCGAGGCAAGAGAATCACCTAAGCCCAAGAGTTGGAGGTGGTTGTGAGCTGTGATGCCACGGTACTCTACCGAGGGCGACAAAGTAAAACTCTGTCTCAAAAAAAAGAAAGAAAGAAAACAGACAACTATGTATACGTACATTTTAGTCCCTGCTTTTGCTCCTTTGGGGCATATAAGCAGAATCAACTAAGCTTTTTTTTTTGTTTGTTTGTTTTTGCAGTTTTGGGCCAAGGCCAGGTTTGAGCCCACCACCTCTGGTATATGGGGCCAGTCCCCTACTGTTTTGAGCCACAGGCGCTGCCCAATCAACTAAGCTTTTTCAGTTGATTATTGAAATAGAATTTGTTTGTTTGTTTGTTTGTTTGTTTTTTGAGACAGAGCCTCAAGCTGTCGTCCTGGGCAGAGTGCTGTGGCATCACAGCTCACAGCAACCTCCAACTCCAGGACTCAAGCAAGTCTCCTTACTCTGCCTCCCAAGTAGCTAGGACTACAGTCGCCCGCCACAACACTCGGCTATTTTTTTGGTTGCAGCCATCATTGTTGTTTGGCGGGCCCAGGATGGATTCAAACCCGCCAGCTCTGGTGTATGTGGCTGGCGCCTTAGCCGCTTCAGCCACAGGCGAGCCTAAAATTTGTTTTATAATGTAGAAAACTTTACATTCCTTAGTCTATGCTGACTATTTAAAAGTTCAATAGAATATGCCATTACCTTTTCTCTATAGGGTACCAGCCGTCCTTCACACTATCATGTTTTATGGGATGATAACTGCTTTACTGCAGATGAACTTCAGCTGCTGACCTACCAGCTCTGCCACACTTATGTACGCTGTACACGATCTGTTTCTATACCTGCACCAGCGTATTATGCTCACCTGGTGGCATTCAGAGCCAGATATCATCTTGTGGACAAAGAACATGACAGGTAACATAAAGCATAACAAATGTAAATTCTCAGCAGCGCCTGTGGCTCAGTGAGTAGGGCACAGGTTCAAACCCAGCCCCAGCCAAACTGCAACAAAAAGTAGCTGGGCATTGTGGCAAGCACCTGTAGTCCCAGCTACTCAGGAGGCTGAGGCAAGAGAGTTGCCTAAGCCCAAGATGTGGAGGTTGCTTTGAGCTGTGACACCACGGCACTCTACTGAGGGCAACAAAATGAAACTCTGTCTCTAAAAAAAAAAAAACAGTAAATTCTCACCCAATCAAGTATGGTCTGCTTATTAGAATTTTCTTAGGAAATTTCTTTAAGCATTTCCCTGTAAGTATGTGCCTTCTTATTTGCCATAAAGTACCTCCAATTAAACTTCCACAAGTAATTACAAGAGTCAGTGATCCATATGAAAAGTGATAGTAGACCTGACTGCCCAAGAAAGTTTTCTTTTGAAATAGGCTGCCTAGGCCAAGTGCTGTTGCTCACTCCTATAATCTTAGCACTCTGGGAGGCCGAGATGAAGCAGGTGGATTGCTTAAACTCAGGAGTTCCTGACTAGCCTGAGCAAGAGAAATACTCCCTCTCTACTAAAAAAATAGAAAAAACCAGCTGGGCATTGTGGTAGATACCTGTAGTTTCAGCTACTTGGGAGTCTGAGGCAAGAGGATTGCTTGAACCCACGGCTTTGAGATTGCTGTGAGCTATGTTGCCACGGACTCTAACCAGGGCAACAGAATGAGTCTCTGACTCAAAAAATAAAAAATAAAAACCTGGCCATCATGGGTGGCTCCTGTGGCTCAAAGGAGTAGGGCCCTGCTGGCCCCATATGCTGGAGGTGGCAGGTTCAAACCCAACCCCAGCAAAAAACTACAAAAAAAAAAAAAAAATAGCTGAGCAGTGTGGCAGGTGCCTGTAGTGCCAGCTTCTTGGGAGGCTGAGGCAAAAGAATCGCTTGAGCCCAAGAATTTGAGGTTGCTGTGAGCAGTGAAATCACAGCACTCCACCGAGGGCAACAAAGTGAGACCCTGTCTCAGAAAACAACAACACATAAAAACAGGCAGTCTGGCTCGGCGCCTGTGGCTCAAGTGGCTAAGGCGCCAGTCACATACACCTAAGGTGGCGGGTTTGAATCCAGCCCTGCCCGCCAAACAACAATGATGGCTGCAACCAAAAAATAGCCAGGCGTTGTGGCGGGCGCCTGTGGTCCCAGCTACTTGGGAGGTGGAGGCAGGAGACTCGCTTGAGCCCAGGAGTTGGAGGTTGCTGTGAGCTGAGATGCCACAGCACTCTACCCAGGGGGAAAGCTTGAGGCTCTGTCTAAAAAAAAAAAAAAAAAAAAAACAGGCGGTCTAGGCTCATTAGTAATAGAATGATAAAGTGATTTAGTTGTTTGCCAAATTAATTCAAAGGAGAGATTACTAATAATAATACAAGCAATATATCTATAGAGACAGAATGATATGATATCTAATCCTGGGAGGTTAGAGAAGTAAAGCAAAATTGGCCTTGAGTTAATAATTATTGAAGCTGGGTAATGGACACATAGTTCATTGTGCTAATATCTATTTTTTAATATTTTTAAAATTTTCTACAAGAAATAATACTTTTCAGAATTATTGTACCAGAATAGAAAGTTTGTTTTTGTCTTCATTCCCACTTCTCTTACAGTGCTGAAGGAAGTCATGTTTCAGGACAAAGCAATGGGCGAGATCCACAAGCTCTTGCCAAGGCTGTACAGATTCACCAAGATACCTTACGCACAATGTACTTTGCTTAAAAAATCTAAATATATTCTCTGAGAGGAAGAATTGAAAGACAAATCAACATACAACGTATGTTTCCAGTGGATTCAGTTGAGTAGGGACACCTCCAGCCATACAGAAACCAACACTGTGTGTGGGGCCAGGGTCTGATCCTTATGTTGATACAAGGAAGATTGTTTACTTCATCAAGGAACTCAGCATAATTATGCAATATGAAACCAGCCAACTGCTTTTTGTGCGGTCTCCTATAGGAAGTATCGCGGTTGTTTTGTTTTCATTTCTTGTAGTCTAACCCTTTAATGCCTTTACCTCAAGTTGCTTGGCAGCACAAATATCTTTGCAAAAAAAGTAAAGAAAAAGTAAAATGATGGTTTAAAAAATACACACCTACATGAATAAGCGATTATTCACAATTATGTGTGCAAAAAATTAATGTGCATTCATATGTTCTTATAAAAGGTGTCTGTATTTTTTAAATATATACATGCATACTTCATATGCATATATATCTGATCTGGATTGATAATAGATATATATGTGTCTGTGTATATATTTTATAATTCATTCCATTGGGGAACTTTCTTTCCCTTTTATTCTCCCCTCACTACCATCTTTATTTCTCTCTCTACCTCCCTTGCCTTCATCACCTATACTTTTTTCTCTAATGCTGCCAGTGACATTCAGATGTTCATATAACTGGTTCATTTGAATGTGAAACATGGCAAACCAGATTTCTACTTTCATTTTGCACATCCTGCACCTGTCTTCTATCTCATACACGATTCTGAGTCCTCAACTCTTGATATTCCTGTCTTAAGAAACAAAATTATTTTATATATATACATATATATATATAAACACACACACATATATGTTTTAGTGAGAGTGTGTGTCTATCCTCTTCTGCTCTAAACATACATTGGCCACTTGTGCAGTGTGTACATAAGCAGTAGCAACCTATTCTTTTTTTTAGTGGGTTTATTAAAGCTGCTATAAATATAAAACCTTGACAGAAGTTGTAACTCTTTCCTTCTGATAAGTGATACGTATTCTAAAGATTTCCATTTCTGTAGGCTATACATGGAAATCTCTTAAAGCTTTTATAAAGGATAAATATTTGATGGTTGGAACTCTGTAGGGTTGAGGCCTCCGAAATTGGGTAGAGAGAGAAGAAAGTTTAGGGGGAGGGCTTTGTTTTGTTTTTTGATAGTTTACTTGCTGCCTCTCATACTTTAATGTGATTTTCATATATATATATTTTTATATATATGTATGTGTGTATATATAAACATATATGTATGTGTTTGGAAGTATAGCTTCCTTTTCTTTTATATTTATTAGAATAGTGCTTTAATCATTATAGAACTGTATTGGCAACATCTTTTGTAGAAACATAATCATGTTTATTTTAAGAGCTGACAACTTGTTTTTGCTATCTTTTAGTGCAATAAGCAATTTCAAAGGAAAGTTGTACATTTGACATCTTTACCACAGATAATAGGAGGAATAGGCACATCTATAATTTTAAAAGGGCCTAGTAATACAGCCTTAATTTCAGAAGGAAAGTTTTGTAATTTTCAGTTTTAAAGCATATCTTTTAAAAATCATAATGAAGTATCTTTGAAGAAATAATTTTAAGACTGAGATGAAAAAAATGATGAAAATGAAGGAAGTGAAATTGCATAAATGAGTCTGACCTTAAATATTAGAAATAAAATTGACCTTTGAATTAAGAAATGATAGTGAACAGCTTAAGATTTAGAAGATACTTAAATTCTTTGAAAAGAGATCATGTTTATTAAAGAGTCATATTGGCCAGGTTCCCATTTTCATTTACTAAAATGAATCAGGAAAATCTAAGATTATTTTTTAAACATTTTTTGCTAATTTATCACCAATGTAACTTTCCTTTTAAAATTAAGGTGATAGTGACAAAGGAAGTTAGAACTTTATTTCAAATGAGTAAATCACTGAAATTAAGGAGAAGTTTTGCAAAACTTTTGTTTTATTGATTTCACTTTAAGGTATTAAAAAGTGCTATAAAGCTTATCAAAACCAAGTTTATCAGTAACATTGGATTCAGGGGAGCTTTGCACTTTGTAACTCATGAAAATTGCATTTTGATTTTTTTTTTTTTTTTTGCACTGGTTCAGAGTATAGATACCACAGATTGTTTCCAGTGGGCATTCCTGTTAGCCTTCTAGAATTTCATCTGCACATGAAAAGTAATGGATTTAGATCTTTAGTTTCTCTTTTACCTATAATCCACTATTATTGCCAATTTACTGTATTTTTGAGCCTAAGATCTGAGCCCATGTCCTCCAACAGGCATGAAATCTTTTGTCCCTCTGCCAGAAAACTAAGAAAGTACTGTATTTTGTATGTTTATTATTTTGAAGTATCTGAAATGCAGTTTACAGTTTACTCTTTCAAAGAGCTTTACAAAAGGTAGTATTTGTATAGTATATACATTTTTTTTCTCCCAGTCTTCTCCTATCTCCTTCAAAAGAATTTCCTGTAAAACATGTTTTATAACACTGAAATTTCACTGAATATAGTCAGGAACATGGGCAAGAGAAGGAATAATATATCTTAGATGATAAAAACTTAATTGGTCTATGCTTGCTTAGTGTGAATAAAATATTTCCTTCATCCTTTGGAGCTATACAAATTGATATGGAAAACTTTAGGGAACAACTGTAGATACCTTTTCCCTATTTATTTATTTCTTTACCTAAGTTTTAGTTGCTTAGTCTCACATGTGCTAGAGAGTGAAGCCCTTAATTTAAATCTATTTGGAAGGAGCTTTAAAGAAGAAAAATATTTTGGGTGGCACCTGTAGCTCAGAAGAGTAGGGCGCCAGCCCCATATACCAGAGGTGGTGGGTTCAAACCCAGCCCCGGCCAAAAACCACAAAAATAAAAAGAAGAAATATTTTTTCTAAAATACAGGCCTGGCACAGTGACTTATACCTGTACTCCTAGAGCTTTGGGAGACTGAGGCAGGAGAATTAGTTGAGACCAGCTTAGGACACGTACTGAGACAACCTCTCTACGAAAATAAATAAATTAGCTGGTGTGGGGGTATAGCTGTAGCCCTAGCTACTTGGGAAACTGAGGCAGGAAAATCACTTGAACCCAGGAATCTGAGGTTACAGTGAGCTATGATTGGGCCACTGCACTCAGCCTGGGTGACACAGTAAGACTCTGTCTCTCTTTAAAATAAAGTACTTTGCCTTTTGCCTGATTTCTTTTTTGAGGCATTTACATGTTCAACATTGCTAGTTTAAGATTAATTAACTTGGAAGAATATCTATTTTGCTTATTAACAGATTAGTATATAGACCTTAATTACAAGAAACTTTGTGCTTAGAATTTTAAGATAAAAGTCTAACAAATATTTCTTGAAATTTGTTCTAATTATTACTGTACTTCTAATATAGAATTACTAATATCTTTTTATTTTTAAAAACAACTTTGGGCTAGGCACCTGTGACATAATGGTTATGGTACCATCCACATGCACCAAGGCTGGCAGGTTCGAGCCTGACCCAGGCCTCCTAAAAACAATGACAGCTGCAAAAAAAAAACAAAAAATAACAGTTTTGGTTGGCCAGGTGTGGTGGCTCACACCTGTAATCCTAGCACTTTGGGAGGCTGAGGCAGGTGGATTGCCTGAACTCACAAGTTTGAGACCAGCTTGAACAAGAACCTATCTCTAAAAAACAACCATACAATGCAGGAGGTACCAATAGTCCCAGCTACTTTGGAGGCTGAGCCAAGATGATCACTTATGCCCAAGAATTTAATGTTGCTGTGAGCTATGATGCAATGGCACTCTACTGAGGACAACAAAATGAGACTCCATCTCAAAAAAAACCACTTTTTTTGTTTTTTATTTAAACATGAAACTTACAGTTACCTTTCTGCTCCTGCCCTTGCTCACTGACTATATTAGGAAATCTAAATTTTTATCTGCTCTTTTGTATGATGTATCTTATAAGGGTGACTTTAAAATGTCAATCCCAGCAACTAGTATAATTGATTTTCATATGAAGAAGAGTTGGGAGTTTAATGTATATTCTTGATGGCAACTATGTCTGTGTAAAGTGCAGATACATGTTATTATTACAGTACCAAAATTACTGGCATTGAGGACCATGCATTTATAATATTGTAGCTGCTATATTTATTTAAGTAGAATCTGACAGTTACTGCACTAAACAATGAGATGAACAGGATTCAAGGCTAGTGCTAGACACTCCCCCCCTTTTTTTGTAAATAAGAGTTAGGAAGGCGGGCTCATGTCTGTAATCCTAGCACTCTGGAAGGCTAAGGATTGCCTGAGCTCAGGAGTTCCCAACCAGCCTGAGCAACAGCAAGACCCTGTCTCTAAAAAACAAAAATAGCCAGCTGTTGTGGTAGATGCCTGTAGTCCCAGCTACTGGAGAGGCTGAGGCAAGAGGATTTCTTGAGCCCTAGAGTTTGAGGTTGCTGTGAGCTGTGACACCATAGCACTCTACCAAGAACAACAAAGTGAGACTCTGTCTCCAAAAAAAAAAAAAAGAGTAAGGACGTGAAATATCAAGATAACAAAGGGTGTTGCCATTGTAGTTTCAATTTAATATCAGGATATTCTTTGTTTTAGAAATGTGGATTTTGAGTTTTATAATTGTGAAAATGGTACCTCAGCTTTCTCAGTACTGGTTTTTGGCACAGTTTTCACAGAAATACAGATGCCATTTCTTTCACTTAATAATTACCTTTTAATAAGTTTCTTGGAAAAACTATTCTCTGTGGAAATATTTCTGTTTATAATTTATTTATTTCTCTTCCTAGAAGAGAGTCTGGAAGGGATTCTAGTAGGAATGTACTGAGTGTTTTGGAAGCCTGGCCTAGGGCTTCCAGCCTTCAAAAGACCTATACTAGTTTTCCAGGCTAGGTTCTCTACCACCCACCGCTGCCTAATGTCTTGTATATTCTCTAATGGATTTTAGCATGACAGACCTCCTGACAGACTTAAGATATGTCTAGGGAAATAAAAGCAGTGTTGCCATTCAGTAGGAATGGCTGGCAGAAGATCTCAGTGTTACAGTAATGGGGAGCATTGAGATAGTGCCAGTAACAGATCTGGAGTATTTAGATAGATTACAGCTAGGAATTAACAACCCTTCGTTATAAGGAGCTTGGTGAGTTTATTCAGAGGCTAAGATGAATTTGGCAAGGGCAGTGATCCTTATGAAATTCAAGAAGCAAACCACTTGGATAGCTAGAATATTTTGTGGTCTTCCCACTTCAAACTTGATATTAGTGTTTTGCCAAAGAGTTTAACTGACAACTCTACAAAATTTTCACTCAATATCATTAAACCGAAGTTCAGTGTTTGCCTAACTCATTCTCTTAAGATGTTCTCCTATTGAAGAGACAAGTTTCCCTTAACAATAACTTGCTACTTAATTACCTCTTAGGAGTTAGGATAGCTGCAAAAAGACAGGAGTAGTCAGGAATCTTTATTTTGGCTTTTCTGTTCAATATGAAGTATTAATCCTTTTCATTTTTTTTGAGACTTCATAAACGTCTTAAAGCTTTCATGGTAATAGTTGAGAGGCTTTACATCAAGTGAGGCCTTGCTGAGGAGCAGTATAACCCTATTTAGAGTCTGTCTTTTCCTGTTTCCCTCCCATTTGATCATATAATGCACTTTGTGATTTTGTAGGAGTCAAAAAAT